GAGAAGGCAACCAGAAAACCCATAAGGAATAGCAATGTTGCTAATTACAAAACTGAAAAAACTAAGTTATATGTCACAGATTATGTATAATGAAATTCAGGTTTGTTGCAATTTATAGTATGTCAGAAGAATGTAATTTCTTTAAAGGACACTTATTTGCTCACTGACTTATAATTACAGATATTTAATTCCATTACTTGTTTATTTTTATTGATAGCATTAGTAGTATAAAGTATCCCACTTTCTTGTATGTCAAGTAGTTAATGACCCGAAAACAAACTCTTAAACATGCCAAGGAAGCACATTATTTAAGGTAATTACCTAGCAAGCAATGATCCTTTCATTATGCAAATTACTCACATTAAATTACAAATGTATGACTATCTGATTTTATATCTCATTCTGTGCCCTCAAAATGACCTTCCAGTCCAGTTACCTCTTGATCAAAAGATGAAAATATTTACTTCAAGAGTGACAAAGGGAGTGAATAGATGTTTCCTTGTTTAGATTCTTGTCTTTTCTGAAGTGATGGAGCTGAAGCTCAGGATGCTGATGGTGATACAGATGGTGATGACAGAAGATTCTGGCTTGTTTTAGTTCTGCCAATGGCAAAGTATTTAGACTTATTAATACAGTAATATATATTAATTAGAGGATATATCCTAAATATTTTCAAATATTTCACTTAATTTGAAAACTACCTTTATCAGACAAACCTTTGTGATTTTGTATGTGCCAAAGCAACAAACATTTACTAAGGACTAGAAAGACCTATCTATCCATCCATCTATCTATCATCTATCTATTATCTATCTAATCTATCATCTATCTATCTATCTATCCATCCTATCTATCATCTATCACATCCATGTATCTATCTACATCTCTCTATATAGCATGAAAACAGAAGGTGGAGGACTATTGGGCAAATATGAGGGAAGAAAATAGACCATCATGAGAAGGTAGGGTATATAAGAAATGGTAATGAAGAGATGAATACAAATTAAGTACACATGCATGAAAATGTTATGATGAAAACCAACACTTTGTATGTTATCAATAGTAGTAATAATAATAATGATAATATGATTAATAATAATAATAATATGAGCCCAGTGGCTTGGAGAAAGTGTGGTCATGGGGAATGAAAAAGGCAAATTGCTAAGCCTTCAAACTACTGTGCTCAGTGAAAGAGGTCAACCATGCTGATGTTCTAAGAGTCCAAAGAACTCTCTAGTTTCTTGTGAGAACATGAAGGAAACCTTCGGGAGAAATGAAAATAGAGTGATGTTTAGGAGAGAAATTGGACATAGGGATTAGGGTTAGAAGAAACAGCAGGCGTGAAGATGTAAGAAATAACATGCTCTTCAAACTGCCAATCAATCATGTGGTCCCAATGCCAAGGGGTAAAAAATGAGGTTGGAGAAAGAATCAGTGAATTCTTCCACAGCCATGTATGAGAAGTTGTTGAAGTTTCTGAGTTGAGAAACTGAGAGAGATTGAAGGCTTTTAGATAAAGGAGTTACAAAATCAAACTTACATTTAAGAAGACCACTCTGGCTTGGATATTATGAAGAACAGAAATTAGGAAGAGAATACAGCCAGTTTTGATATTAAAAATATCTAGGTTCCCTTGGGGGCTGGAGAGGTGACTCCGTGGTTAAGAACACTGAGTATTCTTGCAGAAGATCTGGGTTCAAATCCCAGCACCCACATGGCAGTTAACAACTGTCTGTAACTCCAGTTCCAGGGGATCCAACAGCCTCTTCTGTTCTCCGTGGGCATTGGATGACACGGATGCACTTACTTACATGCATGCATAACACTCATACATGTAAAATAAAAATAATAAATAAAATATTTAAAAATATCTAGGTTCCCAAGTAGCTAGACCATCCTACCACAGGTCAGTGTGTGCTATGTTATACCTTTGGCAGCTGCATCTGAATAATGTGAAACTCACAGTCGTATTTGCAAAGGAAGCCTATACTCAGGTTGAATCTGTTTCTGGCAGATGGCAGTGGACTCAGTCATGGATAGTTGTTTGGAATACATTATATAACCCACATAAAATCTAACCAAGGAAGTTACAAACAAGACTTAAATAAGTGCATATAATCGATACATACAAGAGAAATTATCAGGGTATAGCAGTTGAACGGATGGTAAAATTGAATAAATGAAAGAGGATTCCTTGATCATCAGTCTTCAGATATTAGTCAATGGGTGGATGGTAGGGCCATTGGTTTACTAATAAATAGACAAAAGGAGGAACAGAATAGAAACAGCAGGGACATTGGTTAGTTTGAAGTGTTCTAATATGCAAAGAGTAATGTTAATTTGGTGGCGTTTGATCATATGATTTTGAAGCTCAGTGGAGACAGGCAAAAACTACATATTTAGAAGAAATTTATCAGACTGCAGAAAGAAATTTGGAGTTATTCAGAATGGATTTTGCATTTAACTGGAGCATAAAGAGTAAGATTTCACCAAGTTGGGTAGTGAATACTAAAGTGTTCCCCAGACTAGACACACACACACACACACACACACACACACACACACACACACACACACACACACACAGATAGAGATCTCAGACATGAGTGAGAGACTCCCCACAAGTGGGAAGGGGGTTTAGAAACTGAAACCCAAGTTCCCTGACAGGGATTGGGCTTTTAAGTGTCCTGATGGTAGAGCACACACACACACACACACACACACACACACACACACACACATAAATAGATCTTGGAAATGCTACATCATTAAGACATCACCCTTACTAAACTGCTGCCATAATTCTCTTACCTGTCTCAGTATTTAGTAAGTCGTTCAGAATATCCCTTCCCTCCATTTCATATGGCTGAATCTACACCCAGAATTGTACTGCAGAGACACCATCCCTAGGCCAGTCATATGCAGTCAGTCCTTTCTGAACACTTAATGATACTGGAGAAAGTTAAGGGGGAAACCTTTCTCAATAGACATCATTATGCCTTACTGTATAAACTTGGTATCTTATTTCCTAACTGGCTGTGTTTTCCTGAGCCTTCTTTCAATGGTCCATTCATTACCCTTTGCATTTCATCTTCTCTTAGCCTTCGTTACAGTCAGATTTACCACAGCAGAGTTCTAACATTTCTTACTACCTTTTACTTATCTCTTGGAAATCCTTTATGAATATGACCTGCCAGTACACTTTCAAAATTCTGCCTTCCTGATGTCACTCACCCAAGGGCTAACAATTTTTCACATTGCCAATAATGCTGAAAGAGAACTCCTTTCTTCTCAAGCTCCCCAGACTAAAGCCAGCCTGATCTGGGTCATGGTGCTTCATATTTCCTTGGGAGAGCTGTGAAGGCAATCACAAACCTCTTCACTGATTCTTCCCATTCGTTCACTACAATTCTGACCCTTGCTGTTTCGTGAACCTGAGTTCTCAGCAATAACAAATTTGGTTTATTAGAAGGAGCTTACTGAGGAGACTCAGAGAGCCTGACACGAGTCTCAATATGTCACACTTATTCACGTATTTCATAGTTATGTTGAAGGAAAAATCAGACAATCTATGTTAAACTGTTTTGAAGTTATAAACTGCTACATGAAATTAATCATGTCTAATTGAAAATACATATGAACTTTGAAAACATATGGATTTTAAGCTATTGGTATGTTTGGTACATTTAGAAATGTCATATCTTCTTAGATAAGTTACAAATTACTGCTACTGGAAATAATTAAAGAAGGACCAACAATTGGGAACAGAAATAGAAGTCAAATAATACTTAACCAATCTTCAGTGAGTCTTCATAACCCTTAAACAAAGCATCCTGTGTAAGTTTTTAAAAACACATGTGCTTTCATAATAAAGAGTAGCGATCATTAAAAGGCCAAGGAGATTGTGTGTGAAAACAGTGAAAGTATCTGATAAAGTAAGCAGATAAGATAACAATACTCTACTTATTAGCACCAAATTCAAAATCAAAAATATCATTGAAAATGTAGTTTTCAGTTCAGTTAACACAAAAACAGTTGAAAGAATTTTGCAGGTCCATTCAAGATCACATCTTTAGGTTTCTTTTCCTTGAGGTATCAATTTTCCTTTAATTGCTGTTCAATATCCTGAGGCTAGAAGAGTATACTGTGTGTTTAGGGTCCTACTAACCTCATGGGTCTCCTGTACTATTTTCTCTACTGCTTAGAGTCCTTATAATGACTTGCCAAGAGGGTTAGATTTTACATGCTGCCCTTGGGCTCAATCTATTTGTGAAACCAAAGTACGTTTAAAAACAAACCAAAAATAGCACAAGGCTAATGATGTTGAGTGGGAAAGTCAAATGCCCAAAGTGTTTGGGGAAAGGACAAATCATCTACCTCAGAGGCATATTTAGTTATAGACTAGTATCTCATTTAGTTAATGAAGTATTTTATAAACAGTGATGCTTTAAAAACCATTTTGAAGCTTGGCATGGTGCTGTGGCTCACGGCCTGTAATCCCAGTACTTGGGAGGCTGAGGCAGGAGGATTGCTGTGAATTCCAGGCCAGCCTGGGCTACAGAATGAGACTTTGTGTCACCTCCTAACCCACTCACCATCCAATAATTTTGTGATGGCCAGTCTGTTGAGGCAAACCTAGGAAATTCAGGACCATACAGCTGAAATGCTCCTGATGACATTAAACCTAAATATTATAAACAGAAGCATACAAAATATACAAAAATCTTTTGTTTCAATCCTACACTTCTTAACAGAATTTGAAACTGTAATAGCACTTGCATTGACCAACTCAATCATTGCAACAATACGGGGCCTGCCTGCACAAGCTTTTCCTTCTTTCCCCCTGTACTTTAAAATAATTTTTAAGTGAAAAGGGCAACAGCATATTTAGAATTTGTTGAGACCTTCCAATATGTAATCCCCAAGGGCAAGAAAGTGTCACCACCAGGAGTAATTAGGGCCTACCCAAGTCTTCAAAATAGTGCCCACATATACATTTGTTGAACAAATTCAGGTTTATTGAAAGTAAACATGTACATTGGCTACAATGTTAGAACTATTACAAAGCTGGATAAAAGAGGCTTAAGTAGCAATAGAAAGCAAGTGCAATAAAAAGTGAATAGAGAAAATATTTGGCCTTAGTGATTTCTTGGCAGTATTTACATTATGTACATATTGTTAAATATTTATAATAACTCTAAGGCACCAAAGGCTAAATAGCAGGTTGCAATACTATTTTGTGCACAAAAGTCAAGAAATGTATTGTAAAGAAGGTTGTATAGTTAAAGAAACATAGGCATACCTTAATGTTTACATAAAGAAGTGGCTGTGGTTTTTAAAATGTCAAATGCTACATTAAATATTGGGAAGGTTGAAGAAATAATTTTTAGAACATTAAGTTATGTTGACTATGTAAATAAGCACTAGTTTTTACTGACTTGCTGGCAAATGTGTAATGTGATCTATTCTTCAACACAGCTTTCTCACACTCATGGATATGTTTTGTCTAAAAACTACTTGAAATACTTTTGACCTAAAAAAACTTACCCTATATTTCATAGTGTGTACAAAAATCCCCAAGAAAAATTTACTGAGGAATAACATACATCAAATTCATATAGACGCTGACAAAATTTTAGCAGGTATTAGGTGCCAAAACACTTGAATATTCAGTTTGCCATTTTGGCACATCAGTTGGGTTTACTTTGTTGCTTTGCTTTTTAAACTTATCAACTCTTCAGTGTGGGCAACTGCTTGTAGGTCTTAGGTGAATGGACATAAAATTGGCTCATGTAGAAAACCAGCCTTAAAATGAACTAATTAACTTTTAATTATGCCACTTAAACCCTTTCAAAGAATTCCTTTCAGTGTTAACTATGTCATTAATCACTGGTGACTGCAATACTTTTACCACAGAGAGTTACAAAGTAGCTGGCAATATCTGTGTCCTGCATGGTCTTAACTGTTGAATGATTTGATGGATTTCTATTTGTAAAACTGCATTTGTTCCTTACACTGGAGACCACTTTGCCTTGACAAGCAGTCTCTCATTAGTGCTGAGGTAGTGTTATAATGAAGAATTTGTCAGGACAATAGAATATCATGTTTCTTAATGTGCTTCAAATGCCACCATGGAATCCATATTTATTTGGATGAGAGCTGATCCAAGGTTGAGTGGCGTTTTATGACACTAGGCAACTTATCTGATGAAAGTTGTCCTGTCACAAAGAAGATGAGCTTTTCCTGAAAACTTTCTGAAACCTTATGCCCTAAGACAAATTCTGGTACAAATAAAGTACATTTAAAATTCTTCAAGTGATATTACTTCTGAGAGTATATGCTTACATGTTAAATATTTTCTTTTCGTAGCAAAAGAGAGGCAAATGGAGGGACGTCTATGGTAAATTCTTATATTTCCAAGGAGGAACAATCATAGAAAGTTTGGAATAATTTCTTATACTACACATAATTTCATAGTAACTTTAAGGATATGGCACTCTTAAAATTCAAGTTTAAGTTGAAAAATCGTCCTCAAATCCAACATCTGACTGAGATGACCAAGTAGCATCATGCATTCCTGGGCAGACCAAAAGTGCGTCCCAAAATCATTCTATAGTGCTGAATTATTTATAGATCATTATTTTTCTGCTCTCACATTTCTAGTCATTTTCTTCTCTGTAGTAAAAGAGAACAAATTATTTCTAATGAAGTGTTCATAAAATCATCAATGCAGGAAAGAATGGAACTGATAGGTAAGAATCTCCTTCCCCTATCTCAAGAATGAAATCTGCTTAGTGGATTAGTGGCAAGTGGCAATGGTTACAGAATTACCATACAAAATATGAGTGAAAAGGTTTCCAATGGTGATTAAAGTATAGCATCATCTTAAATGTTTGGAATCATCAAGTAATAATACCTTCATGAAGTGAGCAGGTCATATCATGATAATGGTGGTAAAATCTTTTAATTTAAAAACATGCTTGGGTTTTGGAAGTAGGATATTTACTTACTAATGGCATGAGCAGAAACTGAATTCTTTAGAAATATAAGCATTTTTGTTAGTATGTCACGGTAGTCCCAATTTCAAAAGTTCAATGAAAGATTGGCTCATTTTAGAATATTTGCTTACAAAAGTTATGATGCAATTTTGGGAAACAAACACAACCCAATTGATGATCATTGTAAGACATCTTACTTGATTGTCATAAAAATGTTACTGTGTTATATTTAGTGGGTGTTAAACTAACAATTGCTTTCCTTCCTGGGGTACGCAAATGTATGTGTATTCTTTAAGTTGGCAGTAGAAGTTTCCAGGATGCCAGTTTTCCCTCCTCTAAATAGCCTCCCTTGAGTACTTGTACATGTTACCCTTCCAGTTCAGATTCTAGAACTAATTTCCTTATAGATCATTCAACTATTTGGTAAAGCCAAAATGCATTAGGTCAGTGGCTTTTCCATCAGGCTAGGAGGCACTCCAGAGTTTCTGGAAGTACAGTACTGATATTGGTGGCCTAGTAGGTAGGGGTTCTAAGATGCCACCCCCATTTCAAATCTTGGTATCATATCTTTATATTTATGTTATGGGCAGAATGTCCCACAAAATTCTTTTAATTTTTGTGGCCTAGAAATTTTCTCAAAACATAGTTACATGGACTGAGGTTTGGGGATTCTTGGCAGAAAGATGCAAATGAATACCCATGTCACACAAAAGTCTTCAGAAAACAGGTCACGGAACACTAAATTGGACCTCTCATACCAACACTATTGTCCAGTCTGTCCCTGAGTTTTCAGAGGCACAAGTCAAAACAGATCACTGCTTTCTTTAGACAGATACTATTAAACGGATTACTATCTTAACCTCAAGTCTATTGTTTTTTGCAGAAAAAAGTAGCATTTCAATTATTTACAGTGTGAGAAAGACAAATGATGAATAAAAGATTCCTAAACCATAACCCCTGACAATATGCATAACCTTTATCTCACCTTTTATGCCAAAGGAAATAAACACAGAACTTATCACATTATACTTGCAAATGATTATACACTTGTATTTCTTCTTTCTGCATAAGTTAAAATCAGATATAAGCCTTGATTCGGGGTTTGAATAGAGTGGCAGACTCACTAATTAAACTGCTTCCATGAATGGCCTAATTCAAAAAACATCCAACATGTAGGAAAATAAACACTGTCGGTTAAAACTTGAAATGCACATGAACGCTAAGACTGAACAAAACAGAAAAGCTTCTGGTGAGCACGTGACTTGAAAAAGAAATGCTGAGAGCTGGTGTTATTATCTCTATAAGCTTATTTGTGTTCTTTTAGTATAAAAGAAGCTTCAAAGTTTATTTTCTTTCTCAATATGAAAAACATAAGCAGAGGTATCAGATGAAAAATATAAAAATGCTGGTGTGCTATAAATAAACTCCACTGTGGGAAATTAAAAGCATATACTCTTTCTGCCCATCCTGAAGCCTTTCTCTTGAACCTATGATCCTTTAAAAAAACATCTAATCCACCGGGGGCATTACTATTCCCCAGGCTAAATTTTAGATATCATTTTAAATGAGTTATATTTTAACCAATGGGTCATTACTTTAAACAAATTGAAAAGTAATCTGAATATAATTTCTTATGAATGAGTAAAATCAATTTGACTCATATCTTGGTTTATGTCCAGATATACTGCTTATTGAATAGTATTTTCTGTCCATTACATGATAGAATGATAAAGCTCTGGATCTTTGCTATCAAAATACATATGTGTGAATATACATCCATAAGTATGATCACACACTCTGGCACATGAAATCTACAGGCATTTATAGTACATGTTTTTTTGGCCTCCGAACCTAACAGTTGTTTTGTAAGGAAAAATATGAGAACAGGGATATCCCTCCCAAAGCATTCGAATGTCTGTGCCACTTGTTACACAGCAGAGTAGAATGTGCAGACGTTATACTTATTGCAGTGTCTGCTCGATTTAGAAGCCATTATAAAATGGTCTCAGTTCTATTTCAATATATAATACCAAATGTCCAGTTAAAGAATTTAATATAAAAATATCAGCACAAAACTGTTTTTTCAATCTGTTTATTGTGTATGCAACCCAAACTTCAGTTTAAGTGCTGCTTAATTTTTATTACTAGATTCCATAACCCTACAATTGGTAAATCTTATACCATCTCAGGTATTTAATGAAGTACTTAGAAATACTAAGAAAAAAATCAGTATTCAAATGGTTAATTTTGTTTATAATAACAATAAATTATGTTATCTTCTTCTTCAGTTCAAAATCCAGCTTTGAACACGAGGAAGGCTTTCAAATCCTGTTAATTAAACGGTGTCCTTTAACCAGTAGCAGTTTGATTACCAATTACTCGGAGTATCTCTTTGTGAATGCCTCCTTCTTGGGTGTTGATGTTAGCATCTCCTACCTGGCCATCTTCATAGCTGTAACAGAAAATAGAGAAACGGGAAAATGTACAAAGATGGCAGTGTTTAAATGGTTTCAAAATGCTATCTGCCTAAAATATAGCCCAAGGAAACCAAGAAGCAAGGAACAGTTTAGCAGTTGTATCTAATGTTTTTCAAGACTAAACTCAGCATAGCATGTTTTTCTACACCATGCTTTAATGTGTGCCATTCTTCCCACTGCAACTTTAATTGCTTCATCCCACATACAGCACTGCCTGAGTTATAGGGCACATCTCAATGCCTTTGTCAATACAAGCATCTCCAACAACAGTGGCTGTGACGTCAACTGCAAAAGAATGGTCCACCTTCAGCACCATACCTTCGTGTTCCTTAGGTTTTGGACATCTTCCCTCCACCCCTATTTCAACCATCTCTTTCTAACTGGTGGCGCTCACTTCACGTTCTATCCATTTCCTAGCCAGGTCCACCTTCTAATAAGTGTTCAGCATAATTAGTGCTCCATTTTTTTAAATCACTGGTTGCTTGTTCTATTTAGTCTACAATATACTTTTATTTATGCTGGCTCTTGATATAAGAACGCAAGCCTGCTATGTTTAGCCTAGTAGTAAAAGTGAAGATAGAAAATGAAAGGACAGCAATTGCTAGGTTTTTAGAAAGAAATAATTCATTTCCTCAAATAAACTTACTTAGGCAATAAGAATTTCCAAAGAACGAATTTTCAAATGTCCATGATAATATTCAGAGTGAAATAGGTGATGAATTAATTTCATGACAGTAAAAATGGCTTCAAGTAAGAAACTTTAGAGAAGAGGTAATTACTTCAAAATAGATAACCAGAGGCATAAGAACAGTGTCTCAGAGATGAATGCACACTACTGTCTTTTCCTCTCTACACTTAAATTCTCCTGAGAGAGCAAACACAGGAAAATGAAACAAATGACATACAGAAATGAGAACTTGGCTTCTTCTATAATCCATAGCTTAAACACTCGAGTTGGTTCAAGCTGTTGGTCAACCTCATTAACTCGTACCATACAATTTTTGTTTTAGATATATACCCCGCTCTCTCTCCCCCATCCCATGTTGGAGCATTACTGTACGACAGGGACCAGAATTATTTTCTCAGGGTATCAAACAGTGAGTACTCTGTTAAGAATCAGAAAATGATTTAAAATTGTTTAAACTAAATCAGGTGTTTGGGGGCAGGGTGTATAAAGATATACTTTATTAGGCAAGCAAAACATATTAGCTTATAATTAGGAAAAGGAAGAGAATTAACAGAAGGGGACAGGGACAAAAGAGGGAAATGGGGGCAAATGATTGTCATATATAAACATATGAAATGTTATAATGAAATCCATTATGTTAAAAAACAATATTGGCATTTTTTTTTGTATAAGTACCATGCATCACTGGATCACATTCAAAAGCAAAGCTGTCCCTATTTCTTAGCAGGAGGATGGAGGCGACCTAGCTTGAAATGCAGATAATAGCTAGCATTTACTAAGACAGACTAGCTCCTTCTAGGATTTGGATCTGAAAATCAAGAGACTGAGAGAGAGAAAGAGCCGAGCTGAGCAGACACAGAAACAGCCATACTGCCAGGAGAGCAGAGCAGAGTGGCAGGTCTCAGAAGTATGGTTCTTGGTGGCACTCCACCTTCAGATACAACCTATATGTGCCTCTGAACTGCCCCATTCAGGTCGGCTCTTTTGTGACTGTAGCTTCGGCACTCTGAACAACTGCCACATCCTATGGGATTTGAATAGTGTTGAGTAAGACCTGCTCAGCCTGATTCCAAGTTGACACACCATCCTCCTCTCTACTCTGTGCATCTTGAAATTGACCTGTGAGAATGATTTTGTTTGTAAACCGTCTCATTTTTGCCTCATCTTTTTCTTCTGAACCTAATGTTCTGTTGAGCTCTGGATAAGGCTGTCTGTGGCCTCCTGGTTGACTCATTCAGTCCTCTGCATGAATTAAGTGACAGTTCATTGCCTGCCCTCCTTCCCTCCCTCCCTCCTTCCCTCCCTCCCTCCCTCCCTCCCTCCCTCCCTCCCTCCCTCCCTCCCTCCCTCCCTCCCTCCCTCCCTCCCTCCCTCCCTCCCTCCCTCCCTCCCTCCCTCCCTCCCTCCCTCCCTCCCTCCCTCCCTCCCTCCCTCCCTCCCTCCCTCCCTCCCTCCCTCCCTCCCTCCCTCCCTCCCTCCCTCCCTCCCTCCCTCCCTCCCTCCCTCCCCATTATTTCATTGCCTAGCTAGCTTCTGATGATTACTTTTCACTTTCTTTGCCTCTTCTTAAGTCTCAACGATGATTTTACACACAATTCATTCCAGTTCCTTTACTCCTGGACATAAACATACTCCCTTATCTATTTCAGCTTCTCCCAAGTTTTGACAATAATTCATATGCTGATTTCTAAAACTTTGTCTCTGTATCTCCAATTCCGGCATCTTTCTCCAGCACAACTTTTTTTCCATGGATATCATAAATGTGTACATTTGACACTCAATTTGTGACCTTGGAATTGTTCCTTTCACTTTATCCTATTAGTAATCCTGCTGGTAGGCTTGCTCCCAGCCTCATACCTTTCCACTCGATGCCAGTGTCCTTGGTTAGGTATTCACCCTCACAAACCCAAATGAATGTTAACTGCAGGTTATGTATAGCGAGTGGGTTTTGAAATCAATTTAAGTTATCCAGACTGGAATTTTATATGGTACTAGAATGCTGTAGGGAAGATGGAGTTCATTACAGATAAGAAACAACTTTCCCTTCTTGTTACAAGCTCAAACACTGTATGTTGTAAGAAAACCTTACACTATCATAGCACCACTGCTAACCTCATCATCTCTCTTAAAGCACCTGGCAGAAGTTATGCAAAAATTACAGAATGAAGCTTTATGTCACCAGCAATTGCAGCTCCTTCATAATCCAAACCCCAACTTCCTCTCCCACCACTTCCCATCACTCCTCCTGCATGCTTTATTTTCAGTATTCGTGCATGTGTGTGTGCATGTATGCATACGTTTGTATTTGTGTGTGAGGGCATTCACCTGGCACAGAGTGCATGTGGATATCAGAGGACAGCAAGTTTCGGTCCTCACCGACCTTGTTTAAGGCAGAGTATCTCTTGTTGTTTGCCTCTGTGATGTGTACTCCAGGCTGGCTGGCCCAAGAACTTCCTGGTGATCCTCCTGACTGGACCTCCTGTCTCACTGTAGGAATGCTGGGATTTTAGACACCTACCACTGCATCTGGCTTTTGTATAGGCTCCAGGGATTTGAACTCAGATAATTATGCTGCAAATACTTTCACTTGCCGAGCTATCTCTGACCCATCACACATGAATTTGCTTCTATCTCCCTAAATCTGGAACCCAGAAACTATGGCACTGTCTTCCATTGACACTATGGAGGAGACATCTATGGTGACAACCATACTGGTCCAGAGTTTGTAAGTACACTATTTACCACACAGTCACATTCAATCTCTTCACTAAATCATGGCATTCAGTATTTTGAAGTTGCCTTCATTCAATATGCATTAAGTGCTTCTGTGCAAGTCATTATGTGAGATTCCCCCATGCATGAAAAGAACTTCACAGGGGGAGGAAATGAGTAAAACAAGTGACTACAGGGGCAAGGCAGTAAAGGAGGTACAGAGACAGTGTGCCCAACCAACAGTGAATACAAATGTCATTTCTGAGAGGGAAGCAGGGAAGGTGTTCATGGAAATGACTGTGCTTGAGTTTGCTTTGAAAAGTGGGAGCTGGGAAAGCAGTTTCCTGCTAAAGCATTTGCCTAGACACAGTGGCCCTGAGGATTCAAAAGGAGAATGGTTTTTCTTTTTTCTCATCTTAAATTTCTTCATACCAAACCTGTATCATCATGAAAAATTGTAATATTTAATAAATATGACATTGTTGAGATAGGTTGAGAGTGATGTAATTAGAAGGAAGGGGAACAAGCAGTTTTGATATATCTGGGGGAGATGTGACAGATCTATGGAAATGAAGGTTGGTAGGAGAAAACAGTAAAAATACAATAAAACTTGGGAGCTGGTGAAGAAAATGAATAAGGGAAAAAAGACACTGGGAACCATACGTTTCAAGTCTCTCTGGTATATGAAATTATTGCAGAGATGGGAGAAGCGAGATGTTACAAAGAATATTTAAGTGGATTCTATGCTGCATACACTGATTTTAAGATATTAGAGAAACTGAATGCAAATAGATATTGAACAGTTCTAATGGGGGCATTCATCCACTCTCACCTATCTGCCAAGCACGTGATACAAATGAAACATGAGCCATGCAGTCACTGACCTCAAGAAGGATGCAGAGCAATGAAAACCAGGTACGAAAATGGACAATGCAACAACAGAAATACACACTGGGTACTACCCAGTTCCCAGAGCAGCATCTGACCAAGATGTTTCTGAAAGCACGGAAGCATGAATGAAGAGCTGGAGGGGAAACAGGAACTAGAGAAATGAGTTGAGAGGCTGGAGTGGAGGAAAGAGTCTGTACGTCCCTGACAAAGAACAGAACCGTGATAGTGAAAATTACAGCATGCAGTCCAGGGAGTGAAGCCTGGCGACTTGAGGTAAGACAGCAGGAGCGATGTTGGGGACAGGACACTGGATGCCAGATCACCTTGAACTCACAGTGCAGTGGCACTGAAGAGAGCTAAAAGGCTGAAGAAGGGCTCAGTCTGTGAAGACATCTGGACGATCTTAAAGGTAAGAAGTGGCTGCTAAGGATTTATGTAAGGAAGCTATAGGGAGACTTAATACATCTTGGAAAGAGATGTGAGTTGGAGATATAGAAACTGGATTTATTACTGATTACAGATCAAGCAAAGTTCTTCCGCCCTATCAGTACTCTGATGCCCTCACACCAGAATGCCTTCAGTCGCAACGACAAAGTTGGTATAACTTTGTAAATAAAGTTGTCTCTTGACTACTGCTGAATGTTGTCTCTCTTTTGCAAATTCTTGATGGAAAATAAGATTTATTTTACCTAATGGTCATTATAAAGTTATTGTTTTTAAAAATTCTTCTTGTATCTATCTCTTTAGGCACATTTCAAACTGTTTTTACCTGACATAAAAACCATGTATAATCCGTGTACTTGGGAGGCTGAGGTAGAAGGATCATGGGTTCAGGGGAAGTCTGAACTACAAAGAGTTCTTTTTGTACTTAAATGAAAAAACAAAAAAAAAAAAAAAAAAAAGAAAGAATAAAACAAAAGCTACTGACAGGCAGATGTGCATTAGGTACAAGGTGCTGCAGGGAATACAGGACAGAGAAAAGTCAAGGAAAGGACTCTTTGTTTCAGGGACTGTACTTGAGCAGAAGGTGAGTAGGCTAAATCTTCCGTGTAAGTTCTGCTATGTGCAGAAGGAACACCCAGAGAGAGTGGACTTCTGGCTGTTTTCGACTAGAAATTTTGTAGAAAGGAGATAGTCAAACTACATTTTAAAAGGTAAAATCGGGGGCTGGAGAGATGGCTTAGCAGTTAAGAGCACTGGCTGATCTTGAAGAGGACTTGGGTTTGATCACCAGTGCCCACACGGTGGCTAACAACAGTCAGTTCCAGGGGATCTGACGCCCTCTTCTGACCTCTGTCGGCACTGCATAACATGAGTGCACCTATCTACATACAAACAATACACTCATACACATAAAATTAAAAACAATAAATAAAATTCTTTAAAAAAATGGACTTTGGGTGGGAATTCCTGACATTTCTATATGAATAAGATCTGCTTAACTGAGGGACAGGAAATGTTTGTCCAGTCTTCTGCAGATGAAATATTGTTTGTGGTTCCTCCTGCTCTTTTACTTGAGAACATTCTAAAATTGTAGGTGCATACTCTAATTTACTTAACAGCCCAATTACAACAACCATTCTCGGGTAGTTCTACCTGCTTGGAATAAAGGGAACGCCAGCTCTCACTTCATGCAAACCTGCTCCAAACATTTCCTTGGACCCCAGGCAGTTGAGGGACAAAGCATCTTCTCAACCTTCATAGCTATTTACTATACAGTGGTGGGGACCAGGGAGCCTTACTATTCAGTAAAATCAATTACCTACTCCTGACTTTATTATTTTACCCTAAGCATTAAGATTCAATAGTAAATTTTTCATCTCTAATCCCACACCCAGAGGGCTGAAGCAGGAATGTTGCTATGAGTTTGAGGCAAGCCTAGGCTACATAGTGAGATTAAGACTGGGAGAGAGGTAGAGAGTTGTGTAGGAAGTGGGAGGGAAGGAGAGAGGCAGGGAGGGAGGGAGGGAGGGAGGGACGGATGGAGGGAGGGAGCTAAGGAGGGATGGAGGGATAGAGGGATTGGAAGGAGGATGAATAACATTTTGCACTAACATTCTATACACTTAGTTTTATAGATTCTGTTTGGCCCATCTTCTGGCCCTTTGACAACAGCTGTCTTATTTCTACATATGGGTCTTAATATCTTTGTATATGTGTCTTAAGATTACTATGAAATCAAGCTTTACTAATAATTTCTAACACTAGAAACAGGCAGGAATATAATTACTGAATT